ACTATTGCGAAAATCACAAAATGATAAGAGGACTTTTCGACTCAGTTTAGTCCGCTCTATTTGCTCACGAAATATTTGGCGATTATTTCGAGACATCCTGTATATGCATATATACAAAGAATGAAAAGTTACTTTTTAAAAGTAACTTATTACAGTTACTATTATTTGAGAAAGTACCTTTTCATTACTTTTTTAAAATCAACGATCGCTAATCACAGCGGACAGGCCTAGGAACTTTTTAGTCTCAAACGCTGTGTAACTTGTGTCCAACTGAACCGTGTCCCATCGTGCGCAAAGTACGATAAAAGTAAGGAGCTGCGCACAATGAAAGGAATAGGGAACAGAAAACAAGAATTTCAACCTATCAGAAATTGTGTATTCTATAATACATGATTTTTTTCAAAATTTTTTATCAACTTTTTAGTACTACATTTTCCCATTTTTACCAATATGAGAAAATACAGTATTAAAAAGTTCTAAAAAAATTCTAAAAAAAGAAATTCTTAGAGCTCTATAAGAAAAAAAAATAATTTTTATCTCTTGTAATTTTTTTTGTAAAGTTGATAATATTTGAATAAAAAATTATTAAAAACCAATTTTCGGCAATTTTTAGCAATTAATATCTTGTTAACTATTGCGAAAATTGCAAAATGGTAGAAGACTTTTCTTCTCAGTTTAGTTCATTCTGCCCCTATACGAAAGATTTATCATTATTTTTCAAACACCCTGTATAATAAAAACCCAAAACACAAAATATTCCATTTAATATTCATACAATCCAATATTATATATTCTTTATTAAAGATGATTTAATTTGAATCTTAATTGTTATTAATATTATATCCCGCTAACGAAATGGTACTATTTATTTATTTTAAGACGTCTTATTGTGACGTCTTGAAATCGTATTTAAAATGATCTTACATATAAAATGTGTAGGTAATATAAATACGAAATAAATGCGTTTGCTCCAATACAATTTTGTAAGAACGTACTGAACGCGAATAATTTAATTCTGAATAATTAATGTCCGTCCATTATTATTTCGCAATTATTCATCGATATAGAGGAGACCGGGATTAGTAGACTCATTTTTCATTTTGACGGACAAAATTAAGAGATTTACCGAAAAAATGAATTCTATACCAGTTTCTACATACATTTGACTATCTAATAACATTTTAATAATATATAAGAGGAAACTGATAACTAATATAAAAAAATGTATTTTTCTAATGCATTTCATCTGATTCAAATAGCCCCGGGATCAGAGTAAAATGACTAATGGTATGAAATAATTTTACTAACATTTTAAAATTAAGATTAATATATTAGATTATATTATTGTATATTATAGTATATTATATTATAGTATATTTTGAAGTACATCTTTGGCTACATATTAACAAATTTTTTATAAAAATGTATTTTTAATATAAACATATTTATTATAAAATAAAAATGTATATAACCTTGTACATTTGTACATATTAGATAAATAACAATTTATCTAATCCGAATTGCAGTTATATAACAAACATAATATGATAAGTTATCCTTTATGCATTTAGAATGTGCCCACATGTTCACAAAATTATCCTTTTAATTATTCTTATGTTTTCACATTTCCTATAGGCGCAAAATATTCCTAAAATGTTATTTAAATATTATTAAAAAATTAAAATAATATTATTATATTTGTTGTGCCGGTATTTCACGGCAGCAATTAATATCTTATTAACTATTGCGAAAATTGCAAAATGGTAGAAGACTTTTCTTCTCAGTTTAATCCATTCTGCCCCTATGCGAAAGATTTATCATTATTTTCCAAATATCCTGTATAATAAAAGCCCAAAACACAAAGTATTCCATTTATTTTATATAATCCGCGGCTATTATATTGTATATTCTTTATTAAAGATGATTTAATTCGAATCTTAATTGTTATTAATATTATATTTCGCTAACAAAATGCTATTATTTTTTATTTATTTTAAATACGATTTCAAGACGTTACAATAAGATGTCTTGAAAATAATACTCTCTTTAGAGAGCCTCTTTTTTTTATCTCTCTCTCTATATATATATATCCACATTAGACGAAATATTTATTATAACTCATTCAACCTAACACCTGAATTTTCGGCGTTTCCATTTTTTTTTATCTATATTAACAGCCTTCCTCGGTTACGTACGACCTTGAGGCCAAATATCCTTTTGAAGGGCTACCGTAATTACAAATCTTGTCTCAACTATCCCTTATATTGGATTATAATAGTTATATGAATCTGAGAGGGGGGATTCTCAATCAACAATTCAACCCTCAACCGATTCTTTTCCTTTCATTTTATTCTCCTATCTATTATTTATTATATTATTTATTTTTATCCACTTATTCTTTCTACATACTACAGGATCCTCAAATCCCCTAGGTATTAACAAAGATCTATATAAAATCCCCTTCCATCCATATATATTCGCATGGTTTGCTGATCCACAAAGAACTCGGGAGAAGAGATCAAATAGCTTTTATATTTTTGTTTAGAAAAATATATTTAGTTTTACACATATCACCAGTGGTTTTTCATTACAGTTCCACTTAGCCCTATTCACGTCGCGGTAGATATTGTTACAATTTCGTTTAGACGACGGGCAAAATAACGCGACAAGTTTCTTTCAAATTTCTAATCGATGACCGCATTCGCAGTCGCGAATATAAATTATATAGTTTGATTTTCGCAATTAGCCTTGACCCTTTCGCGTCAGCCCGTCAGCATTCCACTTATCGGAGGACAACTTCCGCGAACTTCTGAGTCTGCATTTCTTAAGTTTACAATTTATATTTGCTCAGGGTCTCCTTTTATATTAATTATTTAAAAGTATCTTTAAGTATATTTAATAAATTGGTTTCGACAATCATTTATTTAACCGTTTATATTTCTGACACGTTTGTGGCGCAATCGTCACTTGTGCAATTAGCACTCGTGGCATATTTTAATTATTATAATAATTATTATAATATTTTGAGAACATTGTATAATATAATATTTTTTAATATTATGAGAGTATTCTATAAATGTTATATGTCTATTTATATAAATATCCTTGGTATATTTCCTTTAACATCCCTGAAATATTATTAAAATATTTACTAATATTTTAATATTTATTAATTATTTTTATATTAGAGCAGCTTGAATTCACAATCCAGTAACAAAAATATCTTATCGATATATCGTACGCTGTGTCTTGTGCTTAAATAACGTTTCAATGTTATTTTACGTACATATTCAGTCTTACAACTGCAAAATTATTTTCAGTCTTTAAACTAAATATATTTAAACTGAACGTATGTAACAGTTTTACAAATTAAAATAAATGTTGTTATGATACTTTTTAATATTCATACAATATTACAGTAACACTAAATAATGTTACTTTTAATAATCGTGCAATATTATCAGGAGTGGACATATAATCATCTTGTATTAATATTTCAGAAATATTATTTAATATTATATGATTTCAGTAAAATGTTCTTCAAATGTTACGTTTAATATTCTGGAAATATGCCTAAAATATTATGTAATATTAAATAATATTATGTGCTAGGGTTATTATAATAATACTTCTTAAAAGTAATTTTACAAAAGAACGAAAGATGCGTAAACATATATAGACATAATTCTTAGATTATTATACAGGATGTATGGAAAATAATGATAGATATTTTACATAGAAGCAGAATGGACTAAACTGAGAAGAAACGTCCTATACCATTTTACCATTTTTGCAATGGTTAACGATCAAGTTAATAACTTGAAAATAGTCATATTCGTCCACAGCCCACCGCCAAATGCAAGCGCGTGATAGGATAGGACGACCTAATGCAGTGAGGCGCGCGTTCGCTGTCACTAGGCACGTAATGTCTAGCGATGGCAATTGCCACT